GAATCATTTCTTTTTTTAACCTTTATTTAACCAGGTAAGTCACTGAAGAACAAGTTATTTTTTTTATTTTTTTTCTACAACAGCCTGGCATATAATATAATAAATAATATATTAATAATACATATATACACACACATTATTAAGATTAGTACTATTATAATTTATAATATAATGTAATAGAATATACAGATTAAAAATTTAATTTAAGTAAAATTTTAATGCATTTTAATTCATTTAAACAACTCTTATAACCATTTGTATAGGTTTGTAATAGGTTTGGAAACTATATAACTATAGCATCTTCAAAGTCCACGTCTTTAGCAATTTTCTTTAAAACATTTGTTATATTTCTATTTAGCTATCATTTATTTTTATTTCTATTTTGGTTTTAGTTATTTTAGGACTTCAAATAAAAAAATATATATTTTATTTCCCTTAGTTGTCAAGGCAACATTTTTAATTTCATAATCTAAATTTAGTCTATCTTAAGTTTCAGGTTTTTCATCTAATATTTATATTTTATTTCAGTTAATGGAAATTATTTTTAATTATTTTTAATTAACAATAACAAAAACTGGCATTTAGATATTTATATTTAACTTCTACCGAGTTTCTTTTTCAATGCTATTTTCATTTTAGCAGTGTTTTGAGTCTAGCTTTAAACTTTCAGCTTTCAGCTGTGTCACAGCCATAGACTGTATAACAAGGCAAGAAACTTTTTTTTAAGAAGAAACATAAAAAGGTCCAAACCCACCTTCAGAACCTCCACCGGTACTTGAGCTGGAGGAGGGCGGGCAGCCATGGGTGGCACCGTGACTGAGATGGCGGGAGTGGACTCTGTAGGACGGAGCTGAGCGGCAGACGCCTGCTGCTGCGCCTCCCTCCTCTCCTGCTCTTGCGCCTGTTCCCGCATCAGCTGTTGCCGTAGCAACACCCGGGATGACATGGCTACGCTGGTTCCACAGGTCAAGTATGAGAAGAATTAACAAGCTGCAATGGTGAAAGCATCAAGAACGTTGGCAATAGTACAAGTAGTATAAAAGGAAATAATGGAAATCACTTCTCCTTTTGGACAATGAAGGGTTAAGAACCAGTGAAATTTAACTGAGCTGAGTCATCCCACTCAGATAGTTGCATTCAAAGAGAAATGTAATACTCTACCAAAGCATGATCAGCAAACAGATTCATCTCTCAGACTTTATATTAATATAAATTATACACACACACACACACAAACACACACACACATATATATATATATATATATATATATACATACATATACATATACATAT